TTTTTCTTGAACAAACCCCTTAGCCATGCTAGCACATGAGTGCTAATTTTGACGATCTCACTTGTAAAGTAAAAAATAAGCAACATTTAAACGCATTACGTGCGAATCAGGGATTGGCGTGAAGAATCTTCACGCACACGTGATTTTATCTGACAGAGCACAATTATTCATTTGTCGCGATAACAGCAAGCAGGCACACCCAATTATTACATGACTTTATTGATTACACTACTAATACTTTTTATTTTTTTACAAGCGAGGTCCGAGGAGTTGGTGTAGTTCCTACAAGTGGTAATCGAACACCTGTATTATTTCTTTGAAAGACTTGAACTTCTAATTCGTCGCTTTCTATTTTTTCAATTATTTGGATGATCCCTCGAATTGCATTCTGTAAGATATCAAAAGCAGATAAATACACATGTATTAGAAATGTATAGCTCAATAATAAAGTATTACCTTCAATCCCAACATTGTAATTATAGACAAAATTAGTTCGCGAATACCTTCAATGTATATAGGGGCTTCTAATTGTGCTTTTTTAGTTAATCGCGAAATCATTCCTTCAGGGCGATCCATAATGTAAACAGTGCCTTTATTTTCTAAGTAATTATAAAAATTAATAACAAAGTCGATCAATATATCATATAATATAGATAACGTTCACTTACTAAAAAGTTGTATTCCAAATGTACAAAGACTCTCGTAATTTTCAATTGTAGTTGGCGGAAGTGATTCAATTATCGTATCAAACATATCTTTCATAAGCTTTAATAGTTTTATTCTATCTCCTAAATATTTTTTATCGTGAATGTCTCCTGTTCTAGCTACCTCTCCAGCTAGTATTTCTCTTGAGCTATTACGAAGTTTTAGTAATATGTCGATCTTCCTGCCCTATTAATATTGAAAAAGAAATTAATTCGAATTATCTTATGTTATAATATTACAGTTTTAAAGGCTCATTACACGAATAATGGATTTTCCAATTTTTCTTTTTTTGTTTTTGCGCATTTTTGATGCAAACGAACCACCATCTGATCTGTAAAAATGAAAACGTACTCAACCAATATTATAAGAATATAGCAACGATTTCTGTTTGAATATATGGCGTACTTTCCAATTTTTGTTTCTTCAATGTCCTTTAATGCCATATCAACAATAAAAGTCCATACATGACTTACAATCCATGCTTCTAAATTATCCTCTGCTAACGCATTCACACCTTGCTCCCATTCAATAACACTACATTGATAAAGAAAAAAAATCAGTCACGGATTGAAATATTATATAAATGATGAGTTAACCCACAATTTATTGAACACTAAGTGAATCCACTCCAAATCATAATGTAATTTTGAATTATAGGTCTCCCCATTTTTCAAATATGGTTCCATGACGGTTTCTCGAAGATCGTCGACATTCTTCTATGGAGGTTTAGAAGCTGTATGAATAAATGTCTCAATTCGGTCAATCTTTATCAAACAGAATACCTTGTAATATTTCATGACATATTTTTTGATATCATCTTGTATGGCCGGAAAAGACTTTTTATTAGTATTTAAATTTGTCTCCTTTTCCTCAGGACTAAACAAATCCATAACTTCCTGACAATCAGTATCTAATATAAATGAGTGTGCAAGTCTTAATGAAATATTTAGATAAAGAAATGATTAGTCATTACACATATATTTAGTAACCAGTATGATCAATGCAATGAATGCAGTATATCTACGTTTCAGAACGGTGGGTCACTGCCCAATCATATAAGACGTCTTCAACAAATCTGCCCGAAGGAAGTTTCCATTTGTCGTCTGCATTTATCGCCTTAAATCTCGAAATAAAATCATCAATCAACTTTTTCTCCAACTTCTTTCTCTCCTTGGCCTTCTTGTCTTTGTTGTCATCTTCGCCTTTATTCTCGTCGTCATCTTCGTCGACATCCTCATCTTCATTCTCGTCGTCATCTTCGTAGTCATTTTCGTCGTCATCTTCGCAGTCATCTTCGTTGTCGTCTTCATCGATCTCATCGTCAATCTCATCATCATCATCATCATCATTAACCTAGATATTGAAAATTAGATATAGGTGAAACGGAAAATATTGACTAACAGTATTTTACGTACTTCAGGATCTTCATCTGATATTTCTTTGTAGGTTCGCTTGCTGGTATTATTCACTTTATTTGAGTTTTCGGCGTAAATTACTCTATTTATTTTTCTCGGTGTCCTTCTGAGTGGAGGATTTTCTTGTTCGTTGATGGTTCCAACTTTCCCCCCATTCATCATTCCGTTAACTGTGTTAATTGACCCATTTACAGTTCCACTTATTGGTTGGTGTAGGTGAACTTGTTTGCGTGTACGTTCCTTTTCCCAGGATTTTGCGATTTTATAATCTGGTCTAGGATTCTAGTATAGAAAATTTGGAAGTTAGTAATTATTGCTTATGCTTCAATTTCATCCCATTTGAGTATCAGGTAACCGAGGAAGTCACCTAACCCCAATGGGCCCAGTGTTAGAATTGGCGAGGAAC